TAGGCTGGGGTACCCAGGCCCGGGAGGGTGTCAGGGAGGTCCTCGACTCCTCTACCTTCCTAGGTCCCATGTGGGGTGGATGCAGCCCTGAGGGAGCTGGAGCAGCTCTCCCCTCCCCGAGAGGTGGGGGTCCCAACCTGCTGTGTTGGGAGAGCAGTTGTACGGGCAAAGTGAAGCAAGACAGGTCTTGGGTGGTACAACCCTGCCCTCCTGCATAGCACTGACTGGGCAGAGTGTCCACAGGGCCTCAGGAGTAAAGAGGCTTATGGCTGTGTCTCTGTGGACTCTGAACTTCTGCTGGGGATGCCCCACTGGGCCGACTCCTCTCCTGACCACGGAGCAAGGGCCATCAGCAGCCCCAAGTCAGCAGGGTGGGTATGGCTGTCATGACACCATTGTCCAGCAGGTGGCGATGGTGACTTTCTCCTCCAGGCCGGCCCTTAGTGCCAATCAGAGGCCTGCCTCCAACGGCCCAAGGAGCGGTAACCAGTGTCCTTCATGCCTCAGTTTCCCAGCCTGGCACTGACTTATCCTGGAAGGCGGGAAGTGTTAACACTCCTAACTTCCAACTGGGGCAGCTGACAAGCTTAGGAGCTCACGGAGCTGCCATTTTCCTCCCTTTTTAAATTTTTCCCCCTCCCTGTGTTTCCCTTCTTCCTTTCCTGTATTCAATCGGTATTTATTGAGCACCTGTCATGTGCCAGGACCTGTTCTCCGTGCTGTGAACAACACAGAGATGTCTGCCCTCATGGAGCCGACATTCTATCCAGGGTGTCGGACAGCAAACACAATAAATAAGTAAAACATATAATGGTAATAGTGATAATGCACAGAAAAAGCGGGAAGGGGGATAGAGAGTAGTGGGGGGCAGTGGCAGTTTTCACGAGGGTGGTCAGGGAGACCTCACTGAGAGGGTGATGTTTAGATCTGAAGGAATCTGAAGGGGGAGCCATGTGAGCAGAGCAGTTCAGGCAGAGGAACAGCTAATGCACAGGCCCTGAGACAGAAGCACGCCCATCCTGTCAGAGGGCAGAGGGAGTGAGAGGAAGAGTGGGGATGAGGGCAGGAAGGTGACTGGGGCAGAACGTGTGGAGCCTTGTGGGTCACAGGGAGGACTCTGCCCTTTACCCTGAGTGACATGGAACCAGGGGAGGGCTCTGAGCTGCGGATGGACAGGATCTGACTCCAGAAGTCCTAGGCAAAGGCTGGGCTCTGGCCCCAGGGCTGAGGGCTCCCCTGAGAGAAGCCTGTGAGCCCCTAGCTCTGGCTGATGGCACATGTATTCCTCCATTGCGCCATGCAGTTTCAGCCTCCTCACATCGTATTCCCCCCCAGGCTCCACTAGGCCCAAGGCTCCTTGCAGTTTCTTTCTTTCTTTCTTTTTTTTTTTTTTTTTATTTACTTGGTTGTGCCAGGTCTTAGTTGCAGCAGTTGGGTTCCTTAGTTGCAGCAGGCAGTTTCCTTAGTTGCGGCTCACCGGCTTCTTAGTTGTGGCACATGGGCTCCTTAGTTGTGGCTCGAGAGCTCCTTAGTTGCAGTTCACTGGCTCCTTTGTTGTGGCATGTGAACGCTTATCTGCGGCATGTGGGATCTAGTTCCCTGACCAGGGATTGAACCTGGACCCCCTGCATTGGGAGTGTGGAGTCTTAACCACTGGACCACAAATTCGTAAATGCTCTTTACCTATAAAGGACAGGAAGCTTTGCTTGCCATCTATATATTGCCACTGATCTTTTTCCATGATGTATTGAAATTTATCATTTTTTTTAAAATGTATTTATTTTATTTATTTATTTATTTTTGACTGTGTTGGGTCTTCGTTGCTGCGTGCGGGCTTTTCTCTAGTTGCAGCGAGCAGGGGCTCCTCTTCGTTGCGTTCCGCGGGCTTCACACTGCAATGGCTTTTCTTGTTGCAGAGCATGAGCTCTAGGCGCTCGGGCTTTAGGAGTTGTGGCTCATGGGCTCTGGAGTGCAGGCTCAGCAGTTGTGGCGCACAGGCTTAGCTGCTCCCCGGACCAGGGCTCGAACCTGTGTCCCCTGCATTGGCATGCGGACTCCCAACCACTGCGCCACCAGGGAAGCCCAAAATTTATCATTTTTATGAGGCCAAATCCTCCTCACTCTCCTCACCTTTTCCATCTATTGGGGGTCACCTCCTCACCAACCCCTCCAGGAAGCCTGCTATAGGAGGTTCTTGGGGCCCGATTTCCTCTCCCAGGGCCCTGAAGTAGAAGGGCCTGATCGCCCATCCCGAGGAAACCCTTGGAGCAGATCTACCACTGGGCTTGTTCCAGGGCTCTGATCTCTGACTGAGATCCCCAACTAAGTTACAGGAGGGCTTCCCCAAACATGGGTTCTAGAGCCTGATGCCCTGCACTGTGTACAGGGTATTAAAGAGGCAAAGACTAGATATATGTATATGTGTAAGTGAATCACTTTGCTGTACACCTGAAACTAACACAGCACTGTAAATCAACTATAGTCCAATATAAAATTAAAAAGAGAGAGACAAAGGCTGTACCCAGCCATCCTCCCATCACTGGGACTTGGATAAAGTGCCATCGTCTCAGCTACTAGACTTGCTTGTTTTTTTTTGTGGGGGGGGGTGAGGTGGGGTTGCAGAATCTTAGTTCCCCGCCCAGGGACCAGGGATTGAACCTGTGTCCCCTGAAGTGGAAGGGCAGAGTCCTAACCTCTGGACCACCAGAGAAGTCCCAAGACTTGTTTTTTTTTAAAAACGGAGACTCAGTAAGGCAGAAAGACTTCAAAAGAGCACAAGAACAAGAATGTTTAATGCTGGCAAGGGTAGTTTAAGGGGCATATTCTCTCCGAACACTGGCGGGTGTGTGAATTGGATCCCTGCAGCACAACTTGGCAATGTGTGTCCCAGGCCGTGGGGAGGCAGCAGAGCGAAGTTAGCGAGAGCCTTACTTGGGCATCAAAGCTAGGGATGAGCCCAGTGTGTGGTTTCGAGCAAACGAAGTTACTTCTCTAAGCCTCAGTTTCCTCCTCTATGAAGCAGGGATAATCACAGCCCCTGCTGATTAAATTATGCAACTTAGCACCGTGTATAGTGCACAGAAATGTTTGAAGCATGGGAACTGTTACTATTATTAAATCTTAAAGATGTACGTTTCCTTTGACCCAGCAGTTCCATCTGTGGTAATCTTTTCAAAGGAAATAATTAAAGACGTGCACAAATATTTAACTGCTTGGATTTTTTGGGGTGGGATAAATTATTTATAATAGCAAAATATTTATCACAGTTTAGATGTTCAACAAGAAAGAGTGGTTCAGACAAATTAGCGTTCATTGATAGAATGGCATCTTATGCAGCCATTAAAACAAATGTTCTTGAAGAATATTTAATGACCTGGAAAGTTACTGGTGATATTTATAGTCTTGTTTTAAAAAGATACAAAATTCTTTATAAATGTGTTTCCAATTCTGTTTTAAAAGGTAGGTAGGGGGCTTCCCTGGTGGCGCAGTGCTTAAGAATCCACCTGCCAATGCAGGGGACACAGGTTCGAGCACTGGTCCAGGAAGATACCACATGCCGCGGAGCAGCTAGGCCCAGGCGCCACAACTGCTGAGCCTGTGCTCTAGAGCCTGCAAGCCACAACTACTGAAGCCCACGCGCCTAGAGTCCGTGCTCTGCAACAACAGAAGCCACGGCAATGAGAAGCCCGCGCACCGCAACGAAGAGTAGCCCCTGCTCGCCGCAACTAGAGAAAGCCTGAGTGCAGCAGTGAAGACACAACACAGCCAAAATTAAAAATAAATTTATTTTAAAAATAAATAAAAGGTAGGTAAATGCACAGAAAAAAAGACATTATGCAATCACTCATTCATTGCTTCTGCAGATACTAATTAAATGCCTACTATGTGCTAGACACTGGGCTGGGGCAAGGGAGATGCACTAAATATTTAAAAGTACCTCTGCAGAGGTGGATTTACAACTCATCCAACCATCCATTCAACAAATGGGCAAGTACAGTGAACAAAACAGACAAAAATCAATGCTCTCATGGTGCTGACACGACAGCAGCGGAGAGAGCCAAAAAACAGTAACTATGATTATCTAATCATCTAGTATGTTAGAAGATGATTTGAGCAACAGAAAATAAGAAAAAGCAGACAAGGTAAGGGGTTTAGTAGCATGTGAGAGGGATGTTTGCTGCATTAGTCAGCGTGGGCAGGAACAGTCCCACTGATAAGATGACATTTGAGTAAAACCCTGAAGGACAGAAGGGAGGTAGCCATGACGATACCTGAGGGAAGAGTCTATTCCAGACAGAAGGAAAAGGCAATGCAATGACCTTGAAGTGGGAGAGCACCTGATTTTTTTTTTTTTTTGGAAGAGCAAACTGGCTGGAGCTCAATGAGTGCAATCACAGAAAAAGATGTCCGAGTTTAGATTACGGGGGTTTTTTTTCAAAAAAATTTTTTACAAATAAATACTAAAAACAAAAACACACAAAAAAAACCTTATAAAAAGATTAAATCAAACTGTGCCTTGATTCCGGGCCAAGTTCCCGGGCTCAGACAGACTGACAGACGTCGTCCAAAACTCACTATTTACTTCCTGTGATCCCGAACCAGCTCGTTCGCCCCTCTAAACCTCAGTTTTATCTGTAAAATGGGTACTAACATACAATACGACTGTTGTGAGTATTCAGCGAGAAATTTCACTTGGCGGGGTGTCTGACACATAGTAAATGCTTACGAACTGTTTCTGGCCATTATTACTGTTACTGCCTTCCACCCCCTAACTCCTTTTGAGGGAAGGTGGGAAGTTCTGTTACCAGAGGATAGCCATTTTCCCCTTTAAGAATCCAAGTGGGCTGGGAGCCAGCCTCTCCGCACCCTTTCCAAATTTTCCAATCCCTGCTTGGCATTTTCTGCCCGAAGGTCTCCGATTGGACTATCAGCACCAATCAGAGGCTGGAGCGGCGCTGCCCGGAGCCCAGCTCCGCCCCTGAGCGGGCCCTGCCCCCGGCCCAGTCAGCCCCGTTGCTATGGGGACTGGTGGACGGCGAGGGGGGAAAGCCCCGGATGTTCGTTGGGGATTCAACATGGCGGCGGCAGTGGCCGTGGTGGCGGCGGCACAAGAGAGCTGAGGGCGGCGTGAGGGCGCCGATTTCCGGGCCGAGCAGCTAGGCCGCGAGCGACTGCGGTGCCGAGCCGGTAGGATAAGTGGTCTGGCCACGGGATCGGGGTGCGCCGGGCGGTTGTAGAGCGTTTAGGCGAGTAGGGGGCGGGGCCCCTGGGGTCAAAGTTCACTTGTGGAGGGAAGGGTCGCGTCCGGGGGGGTCGTGGGTCTACGCTGAGCGGGAGGGAGGGAGGTGTATAGGAGGTCAGAGGTCAAACTAACGAAGGGGGCGTGGCGAAGGGGGGCGCAAAATTCGAAATTTGAAGTGGGAGTTCGTTGGAGGGACACGGGGTGAATGTCAAAAAAGGGGGGTCAAATTAATAATTTGATGGAAGGATGTGCCTACGAGGGTCAGAGGTCACAACCGTGGGGGCGGCGGTTGGAGTTAAGGCAGCAGCCAGTGGAGCAAATGTAGGAGACTTAGGTTGGGGGGCATCTTTATGAGATCAAAGGTGGGGCGTGACCAAAGCGAGCAAAAATCAGAATCTGATGGCCCGACAGATGATGTTCCCAAGGGTCAAAAGTTAAAACCCAAGTGGGACATATTGCTGGAGAGGAGGGGTAGGACATTCAAGAAAGAAATCAAAGGTGCTTTCTGGTGGAGGAGAAGGATCCCCCCTCCCGCAGATAATGAAAAGAATTCCAAGCACTCATAAAGCACTATGTGTCAGACCCTGTTCTAAACTCTTTACACGTATTTAATCCTGACCACAACCTTATGGGCTTGGTGCCATTATTAAGAGGCCAAGTGATTTGCCCAGGGCCACCTCATGAGTACGTTTTGCAGCTGAGATTGGAACTCTGGAGTTCTGGGCCCAGAGTTCTATGCTCTGCTGCCTCTCAAATACTCATAATGTTGGTTAATACTTAATGAGGGCTGACACTGTGCTCAGCGCCTGGTCTTATTGTACTACAATCTAGATACACCCACTTTACAGCCACAAAAAGTGAGGCTCAAAGAGCTTCTGCTAAGTGATGGAGGCAGATTCCAGGCTGGATCTGAATGATTCCAGAGCTCCTGCCCCTGGTCGCCACACTGTAGATTGCCAGATGTCTGTTCGTGGAAGCAGGGGGCTGGGCAAGGCCGGGCCGCTCCCTGGGCAGGAACAGATTGTCTGTTTGGCCTCCGTGGAAGGGTGTGATCTGGGAGGAGAGGGTCCCATGGGCCGATGGGATGGGGTGTTTGTGGGTGGCCCGGAGTCCAAGTGAGTCTGGCAGGCTCCTGTCTGGGGAGGGTGTTGTTGGGTGGTACCCTGTACAAAGTTGGGTGTTCTCTGTCCTTAAAACCCCAACCTCTCCTCACGATCTTCAGTCACTGCCACCTCTTTTCCTCTTGCTCTCTCACGTCCCTCCCCGAGGTCCAACCACACTGGTCTGTTTGCTGTTCTTCAACTCTGTAGGCTTATGCCTGCCTCCAGGTCTTTGACCTTCGTGTTCCCTCTGCTTGGAATCCCTTCCCCACTTTGCACCCTCTCACTCACGAGCCACTCACTCACAGCCTGACCAGGACCACCCTGCCCCCAGACACTGTTTTGTGGTATTTTGGCCGTGCTGTGTGGCATGTGGGATGGTTCCCGGACCAGGGATCGAACCCAGACCTCTGCAGTGAAAGCACTGAATCCTAACCACTAGGCCACCAGGGAACTCCCAACCGCCCTCCACACACACTCTTTATCTCACTATTGTTCTCTCCCAGCCCTTCACTCGGTCTTTAACTTATTTATCAACACGCAGTTTCTTGTCTGCCTCCCACTAGAATGTGGGCCCCTCACGGGCAGGAATTTCTCCATGTTGTTCTTTCCCTGAATCCCCACTTGAATCACTGCCTGGTCCATGGAGGGTGCTGGGTTGGTGGTGGTTGAATGTCGGGCGTGGTGCTGGGTGCTGGGTCTGCAGCAGCGGACAAGACACACGAGCCCCTGGCCCCTGAGGGCCCTCAGTGTCCCTTGGTGGGAGCGGACTGGAACCAGACCCCTAGCCAGTGATACATGGCTACATCTCTACCAGCAGTGACGTGGCCTGCGAGGACATGGTCAGAGGACCAGGAGAGTGCCCAGACCCTGGGCCCGGTACTCTGTCCCTTGGAAAGTCCCCTGGGTAATCTCTGAAGGATGAGCAGGAGGAATGGGAAAGGGTGCGCCAGGCAGAAGAAAAGGCGTGAGTGGAGGTCAGGGATGCGGAGTTGGGGGCTTGTTGGCAGCATGTAGCCTGTGGGAGGCCCCTAAGGCTCCTGGCCTTGGAGGAGAGTGGGCAGTGCAGCAGGGGCAGATGAGTAGCTGCCCTGTGTGTGGAGCTCCGAGGCAGCACTGGGGAGTGGTTCAGAGAAAGGACGCTGGTGCAAGGATGCCTGGCTCACATTCATCACTCACAGGCTGTGTGACCGTGGGCAAGTCGCTTAACTTTTCTGGGCCTCAGTTTCCTCCTCTGCAAAATGGGCATAACGATAATGACTACTTCATAGAACTGCTGTGAGGATGCAGAGCATAAAGCGCTTGGCCCAAGGCCTAGCACACAGTAGGTGCTGTGTAAGCACTGGTCTTGAGGCCGCTGCTGCTACTGCTACCTGAGGAGGGCCTCAGAGGTGGTGGCCGGGCCTCTCTCCACCTGCCTCCTGGCTTACTCTGGGAGCTACCCCTCCCCCACCTGGCTCTGGCAGGGTCACTGGGTGGGTACAGGGCCAGGCAGCCCTATGAGGCCAGCCAGCCTTGGGCCCTCACGGCGGCAACTTACTCAGCATCTCAGGGCTTGGCACAGATAATGGGGGAATTATAGGGCTTTGGCACTAGACATTCGGGCTCCTGCCCCATCACTTACCAGCCATGGAACCTTGAGCAAGTGATTTCTTATTTGCCAGTTTTGTTCCTGTGATACATTTTTAGACTAGGGGAAAAAGTAGAGCTTTCAATGTAGCAAAACACCCACGCTTCCAGTGTCCAGCCTGGGACAGAGCACACAGTAGATACAGTTAAAGGCCCCTCTTCTCTGCCCCGCCCTCCCTGCCTGTCCTCCCTCCCAGTGGTAGCTGCTGGGCTGGATTTGGTGTCCAGCCTTCCTCTGCAGGTTTTCCTACTGTTCCTGCCCTCGGATGGATTCACAAACAATAGAGTAATAGCTCTCAACCCTGGCTACATACTGTAGTCACCTGGAGAGCTTTCAAAAATACTGCTGCCCAGGCCCACCCTAGAAATTCTGGCTTGGAGTCCCTTGGTCTGGCGTGGGGCCAGCATCGGCACGTGGTTCTGATGGCCAGCCAGGGTTGCCCAGTGTTTTACAGTTTTACAGATCATATAAAGCGTACCACAGTAAACAGCCTGCTTCTTCTGCTCTGCGTTAGTTTGGCTTTTTCTCCATGTGGATGTGTGTCGGTCTAGAGCAGGCCATTCGTTTTCCCTTTCTGCGTTTCTTTTTGTATTAGTGACACACAGGAGTTACCTGTTCACCTTTCGGTGGCCATTTAGGTGGTTCCCACTGGGACTGTAACAAACAACACTGCAATGAACATTCTAGACATGTTTTCTTGTGTACCACGACCAGAGTCTCTCTTAGGTATATGTCTCACAATGGAAATGCTGGACCTTCCAAATTGCTTCCCTAAGCATTTGTAGCAATGTGCTTCCCAGCAGTGCTTGAGGGTTCCCTTGCCTCCGTGTCCTGCTTCGGGCAAGTCTGCGGCCCTTGCTGAAACAATTTACTCAGCCATGAGGTGGTAGGTTTCATGCCACCTGCCTGCCCCCCTCACCCCAGGCTGGAAACAGGGGGATGGTTCATGTGACGGGCTTAGCTGGGGCCTGACACCTGCTGAGCCCTCACACCCAGAGGAGAAGGCAGGCTTTGACCTTCGCCCTCTAGGGTATCCAGGACAGTGGCTGAAACTTTGACCCGACTCTCCTTGGGGATCATCTCCCAGGGCTGACATTTGGGAAGGGAAACGGTACTGACTTAAACCTCCTCAGGAGGGAGGCAAAGAGGAAGGAGGTGCAGCTCGGAAAGGGATGGGCAAAGCCTTGATACACTCGTATGTGTCAGATCATTGGTCCCAGTGGTGACCAACGCAGTCCAAGCCCTGCCCTCATGGGTTACAGGACAGTGAAGGAGATAGACCTGTCCCCAGACAGTGACAGCCCACAGTGGTTGGGCTGGGATAGGGATGCACAAGCAGAATGGTTAGGGCTGGGATGGGGGACGCACAGGGACTGTAGGAATCCAGAGGAGGCATCTGACCCAGCCTGGGGAGCCAGCACAAGGGCTTTCTGGAGAAGGAGACATCTGATTGATGAGAGGGAGCCAGGCCCGGGAAGAGTTGGAAAGAACAGAACAGGTAGTTGGTATGGAAAGTGCAAAGGCCCTGAGGTCCAGAGGAGCTTGGGATGTTCAGTTCCCACCAAGGAAGCCAGTGTGGCAGAGCTGGCAGTGAGGTCAAGGAGGTGGGGAGGTGTGACAGATACAGCAGGGGGTGACAGGCTGGGGTGAGGAGTGTGGACTTCATTCTGTGTGTAATGGGAGCCATCGGAGGGCTTTAAGCACATCTGCTTCACCTTTTATCAGGACTGCTCAGGCCGCCGTGTGGGGACAGGTCAGGGAGGGCGGGGGCGGGGAGACCTGAGGGGAGGCTGCCGGGATAGTCCAAGCAGAAGAGAGTGGGTAGCCTGAGGGCGGCGGTGTTGGAGGGTCCCGTGTGCTGGCCAAGATTGTGAGTCCTTTACCCATATGGACTCCCTTGATCTTCACGGCAACCTATGAGGTAGGTACTGGTATCAACCCCTTTTTAGAGATAAGAGAATTGAGACCCAGAGAGATACGTGACCTGCCTAGGGTCACACAGCAGGCATGTGGCAGAGGCAGGACTTGAACTCCAGGCCTTCAGGCTCCAGTGCCCTGCAGTGTTTTGGAAGTGGTCTTGGTAAGACAAGGCTACTTCCTGTTCTTCCAGCCTCCTGTTTAGATAGAAACTCTTCGGGGGCCTGTTCAGCCTGGGTGGTTTCTGGGCACTGGGTCCCTGCTTCCCTCACGACCTCCCACAGCCCCCTTCCCTTTC